CCTCGGAGGCTTTGCTCGGGCAAAGCCTCAGAAGCGCGGGAACCCCCCCGGTGCCCCTGGTCTGCTGGAGACGGTCTCCAGCAGACCAAGGGCACCGGAGCAGCTTACGAATGGGGCTTTCTCGCCCCGGAGCTCGCAGGTAGCAATCCGCCACCTTGACCTCCGGGGCGAGAAAGCCCCGTTCGTAAGTGCGGATCCACCGTAAGTCGGATCCGTGTAAGTCAGGGACTGCCTGTATATGTTTGCTTGTCTGAGAGTTTTGTCAGCATGCAATCATGGTACACAAAAGAATGATTACTTGTAAAGCACAGCACGGTACTTTTTTTTACCATTTATCTATTTAAAAACCAGATTCTTGGAATGAAAAGAATGCTTTTCATTATCATTTTGCTTAAACATCTCATTCTCAAGAATGAGAAATTAGGCCTAATAATGGACCAATTTACCTTTATCCTGTTTATGGAGCTTGAAGACCCAGCTCTGGCAAATAGTCAAATTTACTTTGAATACATGTCTGCATTGTAAAAAGTGAATTTGAAGAATAAAACCTTCCTGACCTCTGGCAAAAATACAAAAACTCTCTCTCCCTGTATTCCTTAAAAATCAGAGAGAGAGAGGGAGGGAGAGAGAGAGAGAGAACATACTACTGCAGTACAAATAAAGAGGGAAATAACTGTAAATTGCTTTTTGTCATGTTTACTTCTTTAGTCCTGTACCTTCTGTGTCAACATTGGCATCCATTAGTCCAGTCTTATAATCTGCTCCTGCTTGTGCATTCACTTCCTTCACTTTTGCTTTTGCTCTCACACCTTCAAACTTTCCAGCTCCACTTTGCTTTTCTTCTTCCACATCAACAACTTGAATGGCATCAGCAATAATATCTGCCATTTCGTTGAGCTCCAGTGGGCTAAGATTATCCACATTCACCTTGTGTTTCTTCAGGTCCTTCAATATATCCTGAATAAATGTTTCTAAGTAAAACAACAACATGAAGATTGATTTTATTTACATACAAAAAAGAAATATTGAGCAAATGCTATATGCTTACAATATTTTTAGGAAAACATAAAACTCCCTTTCCACTTATGGAAACAATGTAATAGCGCACCCAAAGGCTGGATTTGATGAACCTCCCCCATCATAGGCTGATGGCAAATGACTGAATTGCCTAGGAGGTGCACTCTGTTTCAGAAAGTAATCTCTGAATTCAGTGCATGACCAAGTTATGACAGATGCTGAAGGATAGGAGTCAGTATGGCTTAGTTAGCTGCACTCATATCTCTAGGAAAAATTTGTTGCTGTTTTTCTTTGCACTAAGAATCATCACATTTTTTCCAGTGTAAGCAGATTCAACTTGACCTTAAGTGACTTAATAATAGCAATCAATTAAGATAACTACAATAAACTTCCGATAATCCGGCACCTTTAGGACCCAGGGGGTGCCGGATTATCAGATATGCCGGACTATCAGAAGGGCGGGGGCTATGAAGGGTCTGGAGTGGGGTGGGAGGGGATGCCACCCCAGACCCCTCATAGCCCCTCCTTATGATAGTCCGGCTCTGCCCCAGGCATCCCTGATTCAGCTGCTGCTGGTGAGTTTCAGCAGCAGCTGAATCGGGGATGCCTGCAATAGAGCAGCTGGGGGGCTGCCGGGTTGGTCCCGCAGCGCCGAGGGGCAGCTCTGCCCCGGGCTTCCTGGAATCAGCTGCTGATCTGTTTCAGCAGTGGCTGAATCGGGGACCCCTGGGACAGAGCAGCTGGGGTCCTGCTGGGTTGGTCCCGCAGCGCTGTCCTTTGGCGCTGTGGGACCAACCCTGGCAGCACTCCAGCTGCTCTGCTCCCGGCTTCCCCGATTCAGCTGCTGGGCAGGTTCAGCAGCAGCTGAATGGGGGGAGCCTGTTCGGCTGCCCCCGGAC